CTAGAATGAATATAGAGAAGAGAAACAGAAAAAAGTGTGTTTTGAATGAAGCAAATTACAATAAAATCTGATAGCTCACTCACATCTATTGGGTTTATATAACCCAAAACCATAACCAACTATTAATAAATCTAACTAACTAATTATAATTTAATCAATCTTATACTCTAACCGTTACGGTCAAAACATCTAAATTGATAAATAATATAGTTCGAAGATTTATTTTTATTTTTACATTAAGCTTGTATATAAACTTGTGTTTGACAAGACCGGAGATCATCCTGTATTCCAATTTGGATTGGTTAGCAGTGTTGATTCCTTCACACGATGTTGGGCACCCAAGTACAGCACGCCCTTCTCTCTGATTGGACCATCCATCCATGCACTCCAACCCTACTTGTCTTCCCTACAAAAAAAGAAAGAAAAACTAGAATTTAATATAAATGCATATATAAGCTACAAAGTTTGCTAATTATTTATATTTGTTTATGGAAAGATTGTAGTTACTATATATGTTGGTGGTTTTTTTAGCATAGACGAAAATTTATGGTCTATGATTTTACGAATGAAATGTAGAGTGAGTTTATTTAAAGATGATGAATATTATCATCGACTGAGAGATAAGGGTTTAAGATCTCTTCTTCAGTCATGTATGGTAGGTTTGTAAACGAGACAAGATAGGTCATAAGTTATTTAAAATCGATTTAATCAAAACTTGATAAATATTCAAGGTCGAGTCGAGTTCTTAACGAGTTAAAACGAGTTACTTGATACTCGATTTGAAAAGCTTGCGAGCAATTCGAAAAAATAATATATTAAAATTTTATTTTAAAAAATAAATTATTAATAATATTAACATTTATGTGTTAGTTTTTTTAAAAAAATGTAATATAAGGTTTTCATGTACTTAAGGTACAAGTTCGAGTTTGAGTTTCAACTGAGTTAAGTTTAAGATTTTTTTTGATCTTCAATTCTTGGTTTCGAGTTCGAGTCGAGCTTGAAAATTTTAGGATCACGAGTTTTCGAGCCGAGTCGAGCTTCATTTTAGAGTTTTGAGTCGAGTCGAGCTCAACAATACCCAAACTCAAATCGGCTCGTTTACAACACTAATGTTTGATGATTTATATACTGATCTTTAATATTAGTGTAACGCCTAAGGTGATGATAGTTATTTGTAGGTCGACATATTAAATAGATTTGATTGTCATATAATATATTCACATACAGGGAAAAACATTAATGAAAATACAGTTTGCGGAGAAGATAAGAAGGAAAGCCTTCTTATTTTGCATGTGCGCAACTAAACTAAGCAATATATAATCTAATGATTATTCTAAATCCAAAACTTAATGTTAACCCAAGATTCTATACTTGATGGGCTTCTAAACTTTACTCATCACCTTTTAAGACAATTTTTCATTGTCCTGAATGAGTCACTAATCTTTTGTATTTATATCCTCAAAGCAAATGATTTGTTTTTTAAAAGATATTTGCAAAATTAGTTGATCAATCTAAACAACTAAAATTTAACTTAAATTTGGCATTAACTTTTCCTTTACTCATCAACTCTATGACATGAAACATTTCATGTCTTCTAGAGAAGCTTGTTACAGACATTCCATTTGATGCAACAATTTTTTTTGTAGATCTGCAACTAATCTAGGGTGATACACATGACCGCCTTGTACCCAGGTTTGAGCTTGTCCCCCGAGCTTCACAAAAGCGCCCAAACGAAAATATGTAGTTTTTACCAAAGCCGCTATAGGTAAGTGACGTGCACCATTTAAGGTTGAATTGATTGTCTCAGCCAAGTTGGTCATCATTTGTCCATATCGATATCCACCATCATATGCGTTCGTCCACATTTCTTTATCAACGAGGCTGATGTAATCGTATCCTTCATCGTTTTTCGCCCGCAAATCTTGTAACCTGATCAAAAAATGTATAACTTACTAACTTGCTTTCTTTGCAAAATTAAAATGATCGAAAGAAAATAAACTACATCAGTTTCACTTACCCATGCGCATAATTAATTGACACTCATCATTCTTCTTGTACCTTCCATGGTAGTTCGCAGCAATGTGTCGGAGACAATACCTATATTGGACAAAAGGTGGTTGACACATTGGACCCAAAGACTTCATTGTTGCTTTGATCACAGCTCTGCGATCTGAAACGACACATATTTTTTCCCTCGTGATAACATGTGCACGTAAGTTTTGGAGGAAAAAAACCCAAAAATCTGTATCTTCTCCTTCAACAAGAGCAAAATTAACTGGAAGAATGTTGCGATTGCTATCTTGGACAACTGCCAATAATAAAACTTGCTTGTATTTTTCATACAAGAAAGTCTCGTCGATCTGGACCACAGGCTTACAATATTTGACAACATTAACGCACTGTGGGTAAGTCCAAAAAACCCGATAGAATGAGCATTGATCGCGAAGAACTCGATCGTTATGGTATGCATAGAAGGTTTCAAAGTCCACAATTTTCCCAGAATTCAACCTCCGCACCAGCCTAAACCAGTCTGGAAGTTCGTTGTAAGATGGATCTCATTCGCCATTAAGTTTGACAATGGCATTTTGTTTTGCCAACCAAACTTTTTTATAGGAGACAGTGTACACATACTATGATTATATAGCTGGAATCAACACAACAACAACTATATGAGAGCTTGCTTTTACCATGGGCATGATGGCTCGACATATCACTTCAGAGTCCAAGTTTGGATGATTTTGGTTGACCCCTCCAGCACAACATGTGTGAGGACCGTTGTACACTGTTAGTTCCCATCTGTTGTTTTTCCTCTTCCTCTTCGATACGCGAACCATTCAATTGCATCCGTTTTCGCGTCGGGCATATAGTAGCATACATATTTTTCTATCGTGGAGCGGTTGACTCTCGATTGAATAGAATTACGAATATTATAATTTTTATAGCCATCATCGCTTCTTCTTTGCTTGAAAACTTCATGCCTAAAGATAATTCACCATTATTTATTGATGAGTAATATCCATAGTTACCGAGATGAGACATATTCGCAAATTCTGGCCCGTACATTGCACCATAATCAGCTTCATACATATGTGCTGGAGGGTCAGTTTGTGCCACATTTGATGGAACTTCATCTACATTATCATCATCATCGAAGTTGAATTGCGGTGATTCTGGGTGAATGAATAGTCCAGTCTCAGCATCATCCGCACCAGAATCACGAAGCGGTTCTTCTGGTGGAGATGATGGTTCCTCCATGCTCTCCGCATTTAGGTTGAAGAACCTACTACTTACACGTCTTCCCCTTGAACTAGAAGGCATTTCGACATTGAGATCAAAAAAACTCGTAGTTGAATGCCTCCCACTGGAGCTTGAAGTCATCGTGTCAAATGGAAACTGCACAGATTGTTGCGTCGATAACATCTCCATATTAAGGTCAAAAAAATTTGTAGATGAATGCATTCCCCTTGAACTGGACACGATGTTGCCATACAGATTGTTCGTGGACCCACTTCGGTACATATCGTAAGGAGTTACGGATGAATATCTCCCCATTGAAGTTGATGTGATGGCACCATGATGCGGATTTCTCATTATGACATTAAAATCATTACATATTATTGTAGTCGGGTTGTCAACTTGATCAACTTGTTCAGCCAACCCATAGTGAGAACTTAATGACTGACCCCGAACAGCACGCACTTGAACAAACTTTGCATACATCTCAATATCGACGTCTGAATAATTACTTTGAGAACCAACCATCATTTCAACATCATCATTGTTAGATAGTTCGAACGTTGTATAAGTTAATGGCAATAATGATGTTGGAAATCTGTACTGCAACGACGACATTCTTCTACCACTTCCAACATAAACCCTTCCTCGAAATCTTCATTATCAGCTCCTCAAGAGTTATTTGAATGATATTTTAACACGCTCATTTGATACGAAAACAACGCCAATTTCATCTTCTCGAATTTCTCCATCATAATAAACAATAGCTGAAAGTCGACACATTCTTAGAGTTTAAAAGTGCGACAATATTATATCTGCAAAAAAACAACTGAAACAAACATGATTAAATAAATAATATATGAACAAAAATATAATACAATAAATTTTTTACATAAACGTAAATAATTTAAATAATATAATTTTATATTATTACTTGCACCGTAAAAATATTTCGACGTATGCTCCCGCATTCCCCTTGAATTGACACATAAATTAATTGAAAACAATTAGTATAATATTTTTTCAAATAATCATAATAAACAATAAGTATAATAAAAAAGTATTATAACAAAAGTACCTTATAACGAAAGATCGAAAAACTTCTGAATCAATATAAGAGGATTGTCGGATGTTATTTACTTATTGAAATGATTGTTGTATTATTTTTTTGATTTAGGGGGAATTGTGAGAGAGTTTACGGGGAGATGGTTATTTATAGCCGAGAGATGATGCTTTAAAGCGAGAAGTTCGGGTAAATTATGCAAGGAGTGATCCCAGCATCGCATTGCATTATGCATGTCTGATAATTGAGCATGTGATAATTGAAAAGCGCGACCCCTGTCCCGCGCTATAGCCCTACGTGACGTGAGGCGCGCCGCAGGAGCCGCTTTAGACACGTGTATCCATGTCAGCATAAGACGCGTTGCAGGGGCGCCTTACCCCATGTGACGTCAGATCAACGTAAATCGCGCTGCAGGGACACGCCTTACTACAAGGATGTTAGATCAAAAATATAATCTAAAAATGCATGATAGAGAAATATATAAGGTATAGGTGATATATCAGGAAAAACTCTATAAATTAGAAAATGAGGTTAAATAATTTTAATACTATTTTTTTCAATAAAATAGTTATATAAAATTTTCTATTTTTCTCAGCAAAGTACATCCCTCGCCTGGATGTTCTTCCCTCTCCGGTCAGGTCCCGATTCCGTTATTTAACGGCAGAATCCACATATGCCGTCAACCCCGTTTTCTCAGTCTGTATAAATACCGCGCCCTTAATTTGTTTGGTCTCTTGTCTCTCCGAGTGTTTTTGTCTCGATTTCTTTCTTCTTCTTTTTTAATTTTTTTCTATTTTTGGATTCATTTGCCAAAATCTAAATCCCCGAGCTTTTCAAATCCAAAGCTTTCCGTTTTTGGGAAGGTCTCGGATTCTCGGCCGATATATCGCCTGCATTTTTGTCACCCTATCGATATATTGTTGTACGTTTTCTGCTTATCATTTGTCTTCAATTTCTCAAGATTGTTCAACTCATATTCTTATCTGAAATCCATTCAAAGATTTTAAAGCTTTTTCTGATATTTCAAGCTTTAGAAGAAAGAAGAAAAATTTCGTCGTTCAATCGCTAACATATTCAATGGCTTTACTGTGTTATTAAAGTCGGCCAGGTAAGTGGGTCTTCTTCTTCTTTTCCCTATCTTTTTTTTCTTCTTAGCAGCCAAACAGAGCATTACTTTTCCTTTATGCTTTGCATCATTTTATACTGTTAGTAAAGCTATTCATTCTGAGTACGTATTTTTATGAACGAAAGCCCATCAGTTTTGATTCGTAGCTGTGCAAGAAGAGGAAGAAGAAGAGCAGAGCAGAGGAAATGAAATTAGAGATATAAAGAAAGACAGCTAAGAAAAGAAAACAGCGTTTGAGAGGATCGAGGGTAAGTCGTTTTCGAACAATAAATGATGCCAAATGGTAGCTTTCAATGTCCAACACGTTGCTGCTGAATATTCTCGTCACTTCGAAATAGTTCCATCTTCTTCTTCCTATGGGTTCGATAAAAACTGACTGAAAAAGAAAAAGAAAACTACACTACTTGTCCAATGTTTTGTCAGAAACATCGGCTTGCTTGAACAGAGCATTGTTTTTATTTTGTTTGAATCTATGTTTGTTACGTTAAAGCAAAGCATAGATTCCAACCTTGTTCCTTTGATCAATTAGGTTACTTTCCCATTATGTTTCCTTGTTCACTTTTACGATTACTGACTGTATACTTTTCAAAATATAACAATAACAAGCACCTTGTTTTTTCTATTCATTTTGTTTCTCTCTTATCTTCACACCATCTGCAATTATGTGTCCCCTCTCTAAACCAACCAGTGCATGCAAAATGTTTCATTCAGTTTTGACCATCATTACCCTCGAAAAAGATGTACCCTCATAAGTCCACAATCCAAACATGGAACACAACATAATCTTCTTAATTTGAATTTATCTATTTTTGTTGGTTTCATGCAGACGAAGACAACAGGAAAAGTATAAATCAAAAGCAAAGAAAGAAAGAGAGAAAATGTTTACGTGCATAGCGTGCACAAAGCAAATGGCCGATGGAGGGGAAGAAGCAGATGGAGCGCGTGCAAGTGGCACGCCTAGCACTAAAGAGGCTGTCAAAAGACTGACCACACAGGTTCTACTTCCAAACATGAAATACAAACTAATGTTATTAATTTGAATTTGTATTTATAATATTATGATATTAATTAATATATTTTAAATTCATTCTATTACCATATTTATATATATATATGTATATATATATATATATATTATGTGTTACATATTATTAATCTTCTAAAGTTGATAGACTCAACTCAAACTTGAAAAATTAATCTACTAATATTTTTTTATTCGTTATAATCTTAATTTATAACTTAAATTTTATTTAAAATATTTTCGAGTATAGTCAAATTTATGAAATTATTATTTTAGTCAATTGAGTCTAACTTTTTAACCACAAATCTAAAAAAATATTTTTTTAGATTCGAGTCGAATTTTATTCATTTCTCAATAGATTTTTATGATTTACGTGATCCAAAAATCAAAAGGATATTAGGATGAGAGTAAATTGGTGTATGTGTTAAGGGTTTAGCAGCTTGAATGAAGATATTAAGCTGAGGATTGCACTTTTGAAAACCAACAAGTCAAGCAACATCCTTGAAGAATCCATTGGGCAAAGAGGGTTTTAATAAAAGTGGCTAAAAGTGAGAAGCTTTGGAGTAAAACGGCGAGGATGCAGTCGGCTTTATATTCGAGTAAACTGCACTGTTCACTGGGGCTATTAGAAGCTAGGCTCGTAGCTATTTCCGTAACTTAGAGCAACAAGAATCCTGCCCCAAGCAAAGTCCCCATCAGCCGTTCCACTTGTTTTTATGGCCTTTCTTTAGGAATAGGTCTCTAGGACCCTCGATATTAGGCCATATGCAGACAACACTTCCGCTTCATATGGGTTACATATTCTGTAGATTCTAGTTTGGATTTGAATGGATAAAATCACTTCCACGATTCCTGCCCAATATCCTGCCTACTTCCAGTTATTACCCAGCTTCCGTCTAGGTGTTTAATAGGTACATTAGGGGTGTCTATTATCCTATCCTAAACTTCATATATCTTAAAATTCGAATTATTCAAATTAAGATCTGTATTTGATCTACAAAAATTACATAACTGGTTTTTTTATATATAAATTTTAGATCAGATATTCTTACATCCAAATCCTAGTATGTAATTTAATTTGGCAAAAATTTTAAATATAAATTTCATATTTTATGACTTTATGCAATATCCTTTATACATCTATATTTCTCTCTCTCTCTATATATATATAATTATTCACGCACAATAAATAATTAAACATCCTAATTTTAATGTATTAGAGGCTTACTTGATTAATGAGTTACTCACTCACTCAGCAAGAGGATGTCTAAACTTTAAAATTAAATTTTTATCAATTTTTAGATGATCCAAGAATTAGGCGTTCAGTATCCAATTTGATTATTCGTTTTAGATATTCGAATTAATAGGAAAAAAAACAGATGAAATATTTGAATTTTTATATCAGATTAACGTATTGTATAAAATATACCGAATTTTTTTCACACTACTAAGGGATATCTGACCACTAATTACCTAAGCAAATGTATTAAATAGGATAATGGCCAATAGGAAGTGGGGTATCTTTAGAAAAGACACCCCCAAGTGTCGTGGGCCTGACCACCATTGAATTCTTGTAGATCCACTGTGTTTGAAATGTAGGCATATGGGGAATCAAAAGAGAAATCTATGCGTTTGAATGTGCAGTGATATGATACACATTGACAGCTAGAACAGCCCTTCAGATGGTAGCAGACAAGTACATTTTATCAGTTCAAACCGTTAGAAAAACAGTGTTTGTTGTAGTTTGAAATCGATGATTCATAACAGACCAACAGTATTTGGCGCCTCTCATTAGCTTGAATTCTGATAATGTGCAGATCAAGGATATGGCATTGAAATTTTCTGGAGCTTACAAGCAATGCAAGCCCTGCACAGGCTCCAGCAGCTACAAGAAAGGAAGTCGACCGTATCCCGATTTTGATGCCGCTTCGGAAGGGGTTCCATACCCCTACATGGGTGGAAGCACTAGTTCAACGCCTGCATGGGACTTCGTCAGCGCCAATCATCATCCAGGAAGATCAGACTCGAGATTTACCGGCGCATTCAGTGGCGATAGAACTCCGGGATATCCAGAGTCTTTCTCCGCCCAGGATTTGGTGTTGGAGGATGAGGATGAGCCTAAGGAATGGATGGCACAGGTGGAACCTGGTGTTCATATAACTTTTGTGCCCCTTCCTAATGGAGGAAATGATCTAAAACGGATTCGATTCAGGTATGCCATCAACCATCCATGCCAGCAATGATTTCGGTTTCGAACCACATAGATATGTATATATATACGGACATTGACGTTACTTATGCTTTGAATATCGAAGCCGGGAGATGTTCAACAAGTGGCAAGCACAACAGTGGTGGGGTGAGAATTATGATAGAATCATGGAGCTCTATAATGTACAGAGATTTAATCGTCAGGCATTACATACTCCCCAAAGGTCTGAAGACGAGGTAAACCACCACCTTCCTGTTAACACATTTTGTTACTTAATAATCAATTTGGTTTACCTTTGTGATCTATACACTGCAGACGCAAAGGGATTCCTGTAATTCAAGGATGGGATCTGCGATGGAAAGTCCCATGCCTCATTGGACGCCAAGAAACAACTATAAACCTTACGGTGCAGGGCATAGTGGTGGCACAAGAGGTGATGCATCGTTTGATGCTGCACGAACGACAACCTCGTCGAGAGACGATCCTTCTGTTTCGGTGAGCAATGCGAGTGAAATGGAGGCTGAATGGGTTGAACAAGATGAACCCGGGGTTTATATTACCATCAGACAGTTGGTAGATGGCACCAAAGAACTCAGGCGTGTCAGATTCAGGTGATCAAATTCATATTTGTTATATCATCGTCTCTGGCAAACAAAAATTCAGATATGTATATGGTTTATAATTTGACCGTTGAAATTGGGCAGCCGCGAAAGATTCGGAGAAGTAAATGCAAAGCAGTGGTGGGAGGAGAACAGAGATAGGATACAGGCACAATACCTTTAAATTTTGTAACAGTATTGGTTACAAATGGACGATCAGCGGTAAATGCGTTTAGCATTTAGATGTTCCCTCTCAATTTTGGCTGTGAAAACACGTAGTGGGTAAATAGTACTACTACAAGGCAACTGGGGTTTTGTCACCTTTGCTTATGACAAAAACTCTCGACTAATAATGTTATTTCACTCGACACTAGTCTCTGTCAGTTTTCATACATGGTGACAACCCATTCGGGCTTTGTTTCCCATCTGCTGCTGGGGGCAACGTTGTTCTCGGTTTTTTTGTTTACTTTGTAATACAAAGCATTCGAGATGACGAGCTAGAAATACATGTTTGTTTTTGTTTGTTTGTTTTTAAGAAAAACACAATTATCAGAGATGATTGAGATCATCAACATCACTTTCCCAATCAACGTTCGAAAAATACACAAGAACTAGTATTTGACTCTGTCGACAAGAAAACTAAAGATCATAATTAATTGTTTCTTTAAAGTATCTCGAAATTCTCTCTATTGTTGTCCAATGAACATCTTTAGGCCCCTACATGAACTAAGCAACCTTGTTGATAGCAAAAGAAATATCAAGTCTAGTAGGACATATATTATTGTAAAGTTATAACTACACTACTATATTCATGAGGGTTACTTAGCTTTGTCCCATCATGCTTGGTAAATTTTAGAGATCCAATCCAACAATTGAACTTGCAACATATTTCGCATCAGTAATGTGTCTTTTACAACTTGGATGGACCGAGGGTGCTGGGATGCGGTCGCATCCCTTAGAAATTTTAAAATTCTATATAATTTATATATTTTTATTGATAATCTAATTTTATACCTCTAAAATTATACGATTATGCACCCCTAAATTTCTAGCATAACGTTCTAAATACAAAATTAGTAAAATATCACGCAATAGTTATCATTTTTATTTTATTATACGAGAGAGATATACATTATCATTTTATAATCGAATGACAAACACATGTTGAGCCGGAAATAAATAATAAATATAGAATTTCGAGTATGAAAATTTGTATATAAACTAGAGAAAGGGAAGGGATCTTAAAAGGAGATTTGGAAATGAGTGATGAAATCGCATCCATCTGATTTAAATTAAATTCGCATTGCCTTTTTCTTTTTCTCTTTTCTTCTTTGTTCACTTGCCTTGAGGCAAAGAGGGGTGTTGCCCATGCTTTGACAGGTTTTATGACTTGGTTCCATGGACACACTATTCTAACTTCAAATATTTAATTAAAGACAATTTGAATTATAATATACTCTTAATCATAAACAAATTCCTATATGGGGTTCATGGTTTAAGTTATTCACATCAGGAATAGCTAAATTAAAAAAAAGTAAAATTATTGTTTTTACTAATAAAATATTCTTTCAGCTTTAATAAATGTAGGAAAAATAGAAAGAGTAGAAACACTGTATAAAAGTCTCCTTTCAATAATATTCACTCTCTTTTCGATGCTAACAATACTTTTTATCCATTTTTCAAAGAGCAAGAAACTAGATTTATATTAAGGGTTATTAATATAATCATATTTAGGGTAAACTATGGATTTAGTCATTAAATATTCTTACGATTCTGTTTTGGACATCCAACTATTTTTTTTAAAAATAGTTATGTTTTAGTTTGATTTTGGTCACTTATCGTCAAAAAACTAACAGAAATGTTGATGGGGTAATTTTTTTAATGATGGCATGAGATTTACCCGTCATTATGGTAACACGTAAGTATCAATGTTAACTTTTTAATATAAGTTACCAAAATAAACTAGAACGTAACGTTGTTATTAATGATTTTGAAAAAAAAAATGAGTGACCAAAACATAACCAAAGTGATAGTTAAGTGATTAAATACTTAGTTTGTCCTAATATTTATGAATATGAAATGGTGATGGGACGGTTGATCATAGCTCATATACGCAGTCAAACTCTAATCACTATCTGATGATAAAATCCCAGCCAATATGATAACCCAAACCTTTATTACATCAGCAAAACACGTGGTCCCTACATGCTCTCTCCGGTCCGATCACTTGCCTGTAACAACAAACAAGACCAAAATTTTTTGTTTCCGTTATTTAACGGCAGAACCCCACAGATGCTGTCAACCCCCTAACCCCGTATCTCAATATCGGTCTATATAAATACCAAAGCCCTTTGGTTTGTTTTCGTCTCCTTGTCTGTACGCGTGATTTTCTATTTTTGGATTCATTTGCCAAAATCTAAATCGCTGTGCTTTCCATATCCAAAACATTCCGTTTTGCTGAAGGTCTCGGATTCTCGGCCGATAAATCGTTATATTATCGTACGTTTTCTGCTCATATTTTTTTTCTCAGCTCGTTTTCTCAAGCCAAATCCATTGGATTTTAAAGCTCTGCGCTTTTTTGTTTTCCAAAATTTAGAAGAAAGGAGCAAATTTTCTTAGCTCAATCACTGAGAATTTCATAGGCTTTACTGGGTTTTGTTTAAAGTTGAGCAGGGTAAGTGGGTTTTCTTCTTTTGCCTAGCTTTTTTTTTCTCAGCAACCAAACAGCGCAGTACTTTTCCTTTATGATTTGCATTGTTTTCTACTGTTATTAAAGGTATTCGTTCTGAGTATGTGTTTTTATGAATGAAAACCCACCAGTTTCTGATTCGTAGCTGTGAGAAAAAAAGCTGAACAGAGCGAAGCAGAGAGCAGAGGAAATGAAATTAGAGATAGAAAGAAGGACAGCTAAGGAAAAGAAAGAAAACAGCATTTAAGAGTATCGAGGGACGAGGGTAAGTCGTTTTCTAACAATAAATGATGCCAAATGGTAGTTTTCAACCGAAACAAATCTTAATATTCTCTTGTCTCTTTGTCCATTCATTTCTCGACACTCGAAATAGGCTCATCTTCTTCTTCTTCTTCGTCGTCTTCGAGAAAAACAGATTGAAAAAGAAAAAGAAAACTACTCTACTGCTCCAGTGTTTCTCTATTATATTATTCTTTTGGTCGCTTTGTTTTTTTATTCAACTTTATTAATTTAAATTTTGTCAAAAACATAGGCTTGCTTGAACAGAGCATTGTTTTTTTTTAAATTTTGAATCTCTGTTGGTTACGTTAAAGCAAAGCATATATTCCAATCTTGGTCCTTTGATCAATTAGGTTACTTTCCGATTGGTATGTTCCATTATGTTTACTTCTTTATTTTGTTTTTTTCCCAATAATTGACTGTTTGCAAGCACTTTTGTGGGGTGTATGTGGCCTTACTTCTCTGATCCCGAGCTCGCTCTTTTTCTTTTTGTTTCTCTTTTCCTTTTAGTCATTGTCGAAACAAAACTCTTAAGGGATGATGCTGGTGCAACACTCACACTTGTTGGATTGTTTTCTTGTATGAATGTGGTTTTTCTTTTGTTCTTTTCTTGCGTGTCAAACATGTTGGTCTATTGTTCTACTGCAACAATGTCTCCTCATCTCAGTGCATGAAGAATGTTTCATGGATTCATTTCAGGTACAGTAAGAGAATAAGTAGAGGAGAAATCAAAAGAAAAGAAAGGAAAAAATGTTTACGTGCATAGCGTGCACAAAGCAAACGGAGGATGGAGGGGAAGAAGAAGAAGGAGCGCGTGGAAGTGGCACACCGAGCACTAAAGAGGCTGTCAAAAGCCTGACCACGCAGGTTCTACTTCTATCTATCTCTTCTCCTTTGTTTCTTCTTTGGTTCATTCATTCAATCTATCTTTAGCTTAGGCTTTGCTTTTATCAGTTTACTTTTTTCTACTTTAGGATTTTGTTTGTGAAAATGAACAAAAATCATAATCCCAATTAGCTGATGATTTCCTTTGCCTGGGGACCACTTCTTCTTTGGCATCTTTTTCTTCCACGTTTAGTGCTGTAAAAGCTGTGCATGGGGTGGGGGTATGTAACCTGCAGTAGATGGGGTAAATTTGGTGCATTTGGTGTTTAGGATTTTGCCATGAAAACCAATAAGTCAAGGCAAGATCCTTGAAGATTGAAGATACCAATGTGCAAAGAGGGTTATAATAAATGCGGCCAAAAGTGAGAACCTTTGTGTGGTTATAGTTTAGATTTGAGTACACTGCACTGTTCACTGTTGTGCAGGGCTATGGGTAAATAGGATTTGAACGTAGGCAGCTTTAGGCTGTTGTTAAATGCTTAAGAAAATGAATCCTCGTCGGTGTACAAAGATCCCACCTTTTCTTTAGGACCAGGTCCTCTAGGATTGTGAACAATAGGCAGATGCAGAGGACACTCTCCCTTCATATGGGTTACATATTCTCTAGGCTTTAGTCAAGATTTTGATGGACAACATCCTCCCCACTTATTAACTTCTTTATCTATGTTTATCATATACATCTCAAAATATAGATCTTTTCAAACGTCTTTTAATTCTACGTCGAAATTTGGACACTTTAACAAAAAAGAGGGAACAGCGTTGCTTTTATTTACTAAATGTCTTACAGAAATAGCTTAATTTAAAAATTAAGTATTTAATTTTTTTTCCTTTTTTACTTTAGGTGATTAATATTCTTTTAATATAAATATTGAAATTTTATTTTATTAGTATTTTTAAATTGAATCATTAAATTCATTATAAAAAATATATATTATCCAATGTATATATCACAGTTAACATGAATTATAATTACTTTTCATTTTTTAATAAAAAATAAATACCTAAACTATAATTATTCTTTTGGATTTTTTATTTGCGAAGATGGAAGAGTATGAGATAATCAGTAATGGGGGAAGATCTCCGACAATGGAAGGAATAGACGGTAGTGGTTTCAACGACAACAAAAAGATTTTATGAAATTTTTAGAAATTAAGCATTTTAGGATCTTCAAAATTAGAGATTCTATGGGTTTTTTTAATATAAAATAAAGATTAATTAAGCATGAAGTTATGGATTTACTGACTACTCATTTTAGTTAATCCTAGAGAAATAGTATAATATGGTGTTTTAGGATGGGGTTGTTAAGAAATAAAAAATTGTGGGAATAGCCAATAGGAAGTAGTGAGGGGGTATCTTTAGAAAAGACTATTCGGTGTATATTAAAAAAATACACCCCAAGTGTCAAGGGCCTGACCCACCATTAATTCTTGTCGGTCCACTGTGTTTGAAAAGAAAAAAGAAAAATCTATGCTTGCAAATGGGCACTGGTATCATACAAATTGACAGCTAGAACAACAGCTCTTCAGGTGGTAGCAGACAAGTACATTTTATCAGTTCAAACTGTTAGACCAACAGTGTTGACTGCTCTTGAATTTTCACAGTTTGACTTGTCTTTTTCCTTTTTTGGGGTGGAGTCTATGCAGGTGAGCTTAGACTTTGAATAACGACTATGAAATAAACAAGTATTTTTCCAATATGACATGATCTTGTTGAAGCCGAGCATATTGATGAACATGGAGTTGTATCTTGTCTACTTTGTGTTTCTCATTGACATGAATTCTGATAAATGTGCAGATCAAGGATATGGCATTGAAATTTTCTGGAGCTTACAAGCAATGCAAGCCCTGCACAGGCTCTAGCAGCTACAAGACAGGGAGTCGACCGTATCCGGATTTCGATGCTGCTTCGGAAGGTATTCCATACCCCTACATGGGTGGAAGCTCTAGTTCAACGCCTGCTTGGGACTTCACTAGTGCCAGTCATCGTCCAGGAAGATCGGACTCGAGATTTACAGGGGCATTCAGTGGTGAAAGAACTTCGGTGTATAGAGAGTCTTTCTCGGTCCAGGATTTGGTGTTGGAAGATGAGGATGAGCCCAAGGAATGGATGGCACAGGTGGAACCTGGTGTTCATATAACTTTTGTGTCACTTCCTAATGGAGGAAATGATCTAAAACGGATTCGATTCAGGTATGTCATGAACCATCCATGCCACCAATGATTTACCTTTGTATATTATACGGAAACTGACATTAATTAGGCTTCGAATGAAGTCGGGAGATGTTCGACAAGTGGCAAGCGCAGCGGTGGTGGGGTGAGAACTACGATAGAATCATGGAGCTCTATAATGTAGAGAGATTTAATCGTCAGGCATTACATACTCCCCCAAGGTCTGAAGATGAGGTAAACCGCCATCTCACATTTAATACATTTTGTTAATCAAGTTGAAGTTCCAGAGAGAAAAAAGTTTATATACTGCAGACACAAAGGGATTCGTCTTATTCAAGGGTGGGATCAGCAATGGAAAGTCCCATGCCTCATTGGACACCAAGAAACAACTATAGGCCCTACAGTGCAGGGCCTAGTGGTTTTTGTCCGGGTGGCACGAGAGGCGACCTTCGTTTGATGCTGCACGAACGACGACCTCGTCGAGAGATGAGCCTTCTGTTTCGGTCAGCAATGCCAGTGAAATGGAGGCCGAATGGATTGAAGAAGATGAACCCGGGGTTTATATTACCATCAGACAGTTGGCTGATGGCACCAGGAACTCCGACGTGTCAGGTTCAGGTAAATCAAATTCATATTTATTTACCAACACAAAATAAGAATGCATCTTTGCCTATGTAGACGATTTATTTATAATTTGGATATTGAAATTGAGCAGCCGCGAAAGATTTGGAGAAGTAAATGCAAAGCAGTGGTGGGAGGAGAACAGAGATAGGATACAAGCACAATACCTTTAAAAATTATTATACTATTGATCCAAAGCGGTGGATCTAAATGTGTGTTGAATTTGGCTGTTCCCTCTCAATTTTGGCTATGAACCAGACACGTCCCGTACGCAAGTAGTGGGTAAAGAGTAGAGAAAGAAACAAGTTGAGATTCTACGAGGCAGCAGGGTTTTTGTCATCTTTGCTTATGACAAAACAGTGTTAAATGTAATTTCACACAAACACTAATCTCTCTCAATTTTCATTCATCCCAGCTGCTGCTGGGACTCCCCCCCTTCTCTCTATTTTTTCTGTTGGTCTGGCAGCTTTGTTTTCAGGGGGCCTTTTTTTTACCACCTCACGAGACCTTCCGGAGGCATTTGAGATTTGAATATTTGGGTCGGGAACTATGGTATCCACTGTTGTTTTGTTTGTTATTTTGTAATACCAAATTTGGTAGTTGGAGAAATGAAATTCAAATTGTTGTTTTGTTGGTTATAATTACTACAAATTTGTGCTTACATATTACACCAAACCCTGTCTATGACTGCCAAGGCTACTATGTTCTTCGGTTACCTTTGAAGCTGGACCTCTGAGATCTCTTATTTCCTCAAATCGCAAAGGAGAAAAGAAAAAATATCAACACACAAAACAAGATTTGACAAACTGGAACTTTATTTATCAAAGCAAAGGTCAAAGACAGCAAACTTGTCTCTTATTTGTCAAAGAAAACACTCAAACGGAAGACATAAAACCAACACTCACTCGTTTCGATATTTGGACTCCATCGATCCATAATACCAACGATTATTTATTATAGAAACCATGACGCTAGGGCACAACAACATTATATGCTGCTACTTTTTCCTGGTGATTCAAGTATCACATGAATAGGGTATAACAAACGGATCATACACCACAGTCCACTGAACCCCAACCTTTATAGGAGTGCCTCAATTGCGCAACATATGGCCGCCGATGCCCAATTGTCACATTTGCCAACTTATCCTCTACATCAGCAGCTCCAACGGCATTCCAATCCTTGTTGATGGATGCACCAACTGGACCAAAAATTATATTTTCACGTCAATTCCATATACCAAACCACACAGACTAACAGGAAAAAATTTCAAGATCCAACCATAATATTATTCAACACCCAAAATGTGTATATCATTACAGAAACTGAACAATTTTATTGCTATCAATAAGCACAACTATGGATCAACTTTAACCCTATATATAGTCCCATTCCCCTTGTTACCAAAGGGGTGCTAATATACAGAGACAAATACTCGTAGTCACAATATGATTGAATCTGGATTAAAAGAAAAGAAAAAAAGAAACAATGACCATTCAATATAATATAATATGCTTACATGGACTCTTTCTTCCTGGTGGCAGATACCTTGGTTGTCTGCTATAGCTCTTCAAGGACTTGTCATTCCTTCTAAGATCCTTTAATAAAGAAGGATCATATTTAGATGCAATGTACAAAAACACTACTAGATAAGCAGAAAAACTAAGGCATATAAGATTACAATTACCTGATTAACCATGTCCAGCGGGCGTTGCACACCTGCAAGAACCAACCATTAGTAGAGAATCCCACCGTATAAAATCTTAATGGGTTACAATTTGGACAGAGTAACAAGGTAATGATTAATTGCTCGATCAAAAAAGCAATAGTGACAATTTAATTGCTAAAACCATAACTGAGCAAGGAGACTCAAACTAAATGCAGAAGAGCAGTTTGTTTATAGCCATATTACAAACATAGCAAGAAAACTTGATGTATTCATCATGTGCATGTACTATATCCAACATAAAAAATGAAGTATTTAGGCATTATCACACTCTAAATTCCATTACCTGTGCCCAAAGATGCACTTGTCTTCACTCTGGAATGATTGTCAGTTAGCTTTGCACTAGGTAGAGACCCAGAGAATCTCCTACTTGATTGTCGTTCCAATGTTCCTTTCTCCCCAACTAAGCATGCAATTTAAAAAAAACAAATAAATTAAGCCAGACAACAGCCTCCTCCAAAAGAAAAACCAAAGGGGAGCAAATTGGTGAGTCTCAAACAAACCTGATGGAGGAGTTCTAGACACAGCAGCTCTGGGACGAAGAGAGGGTGGAACATAATAACAACTCTGCAAATCAAGGGGAAGTTATTTTAGGAGAGCCCTAGCTACAACATGATTGTCATTCTGACTTCATTAAAGAACATCACAACAATATTAAGAACACGCGAGTAACTATAAAAGACACACAACCTGAAAGAATGGATGTCGAAGGGCCTCAGCAGCCATTGGCCTTTTGCAAGGATCCCATGAACAGAGAGACTAAAAACAAGCAGCAAAGCAACAGTCAATTTCCCATGAAGCAATCCCATCAAGAGACACAAAAGGCAACAGAGAGCAGAAATGCACTTAACAGTAATAAGGTTAATTGCATCATCACTTGCTGATGGTACCAACGTGGACAGATGCACACCAGGGAGCTTCAACGTTCAACAGTAAGATTTAAAAATATCTTAGATTACAGTCACTCATAAGAAAATCCACACTAAGTGTACATTGGTAAAGAAAACTTCAAATTATGCTATGAAACTAATAACCATGCAATCACAATTCAGGGAGAGTAAGACCTGTGGGAACCGGTAGTTTATAGCTCTTGCAAGGTTAAGACCATCAGACCACAAATCCTTAGTTGGAGTACCTATTACACTGCAAATTTTGTAGATTTCATCTGCTTCGCTGCATGCATAATGAAAGGTAAGCATCAATCCTGTGAACAGCCAGGCAAATACTCGTAGTTTCCAAACAAATAACAAAAGATAAATAGATAAAACTAATGCATATCTAAGCTCGCTGCACAATCTCAAGGAGGTGTTCACAGCACAAAAAGAAATTATAAGAACATACCTGGAACCAGGAAAAAGAGGACGTAACGTGAACAATTCAGCCATTATTGCACCCATTGCCCACATATCTGAAAGCAAAGAGAAAAAATAATCAGGACTGCGAGCATTTCCACTCTTAAGTGAATCAGTACTGATTGCACTGAAAACTCACCAACTTTTGAAGAATATTGGTATGATTGAAGAGTATTTCAGGGGCGCGATACCTAAAGAAGTCAACACTTGGTTGTAATAAATATAAAAAAAACAGAAAAGGTGGAAAATCAATTAAATCCTCAAGTATCAAACTAACCAGCGTGTTGACACATATTCAGTGTATGGAGGATCTGAACTAATTTCCCGCGCAAGACCGAAATCGGCAATTTTGATTATATCTCTAGTAACCAACAGATTCTCTGGAAAGAACATGGCAGTTAGTTGCATAATATTTCTTTGAGAAAATATAAGATAAATAAACATGAATTCTGCAGGCAAAATTTACATCCTGTACCTGGCTTTAGGTCACGATGAAAATATCCACACTGGTGCATGTATGCAAGACCTTGAAAGACTTGGAAACACCAATTTCTGATTTCAACTTCTGAAAAAAGCTTTTCTCTGTCTTTCATAAGTTGGTAGAGATTGAATTCCTGGAATATTTGCATGTTTTGAGAAAAGTAATTAAAGCCCCAAAGAACATAGAGCAAATTATAACAAAAACACAAGCTGTCACTTACCATATATTCAAACACAAAGTACAGAATGTTATTTTCCCTGATGACTTCCTTTAGCTTTACAATATTGGGATGACTCATTCTCCTCAGTGACTGCCAAATGAGAGACTATCATGCATATGAAAAAGAAGAGCAAAAACAGAAGAAAGTGACTCATATTACCTTAACTTCTCTCAGATTCACACACTCTTCCCATGTGTGATATTTCTTCTTCATTTTCTTAATTGCAACCTTCAAAACAGAATATATTAAAAAAATAATGCATCAGAGTCAACACATTTAAAGATATATGTTTTTACAATTTTAAATAAATATGATTGTTGCATACTCACAACTTCACCAGACAGCTTATTAATAGCTCGCCATACACTACCAAACGTTCCGTCACCAACTTCCTTAATTATCTTGTACCTAATACATTCAAAAGTGATAAGCAGAACTAGCAGAAAATAAATACTATTTAGGCATCCCAGATAAAACAACATACCTCTCCATTTTCTTGCAGAAGAAAAAGTAGCCCTTGCTTTATTCAAGAGATGTATAAGAAACAACGATAATCGTATGGAATATATCTTCAGTAGAAGATTTTTTGTATTAGAAACAATAGAACATTAACAAACTGTGTTGCTGGTCTTCTCAGTTAATCGATTTCCTCAAGCAACATGCAAAAGCATAAAACCATAAATATTATGGTTGATGGGATTCATAGCTTTATTTGTTACTAAATCCATATCTTCAAGTAGAGAACAGGGCATCAAAGGAAGGAACGGATGAGCTCCGCACAACATGCTTACAGGAAGCAACCAGAATGAATGATTTGCTTTATTAAACAGGAATGATCCAAAGTTCAAGATACTCTCACTTGGTTTAAAAACTTAATCGCCGTCAACTCATCTAGGCTAAATAGAAACTGTTGCAGAAAGCTCAATACACCGATATTCATTACTAATCAGTATCCATCAGGAGCAACAACAGAAAATTGATTGCGAACTAAGCTGCTAAAGTTTAAGATGAAACTTTCAACAGTCTACCATGAGTGTTCAGACCTGTGACAATAGAAGAATGATTAGAAAAATAAGTTAAAGGTTATAAAAGGCACAAATAGTTGATAGATATAATAAAACAAGATTATGCAAAGATATAGAGCACCTGAAAGGCATTTTCCCAAAATCTTCAACCGGATGCAGTATCATCAATTCACTGCAAATAAAATATTTAGATCCTACCTATATGATTTTTAATCAAACAGATGAAAAAACTGCTTACTTGAAGAAGTTTGCTAAAGATCCAACACCTATCTCAGAAGAAACTAGCATTCCAACTCCAGTGTTAAGTTAAGTGTTAAAAAGATATAGGGGACTAGGTGCAGTTGACAAAGGAAACCAAAAGGAAATCTCCATGAACAAGAAACCGCCAATCGCGCACTTCTTGGACTGAAAACACTCGGAAAAGGTAGCAATTTGACCAGAAACACACTTTTTCCATGTCTTGAAAAGGAAAGTAAATCACTTTAAATCCAACTCAGGTAAAACCTAACATTAAAACAATATAAATTGAAACTTTTAGTTAAGATATATCTAACCAGGGCACACAAACAAATATGATACACTAAATTCTACTACAAAATGAGAAAATAACACAATCTCTCGTGA